CCCCAAAACCCCAAAACCCCGCTACATTGTCATCTTATAGAATTTGAAGTGAATTGATATAATTCCATTACTTTATATATATATCATTGATAAATTTTAGCATCTCAAATATGGAGAATATTTCTCTTTAAGACAATAAATCAATTCTAAATTAAATTGCTCATTTTTACTTCTCTATTAACTAAAATCTTTTATTCTTTCGCATTGTATGTAACATTAAATGAACGATTAATATGATCGCAGTATTATGAAACTTATTTCTTAACATCTGAGAAAGAATCACAAACGAAATATTTAGGTTACAAATCATTCAATGGATAACTCATGTGATCTTTGCAAATAACAAAGGGATCAAACTTTAAATATTAAGGTTTACCGCTCATGCAATGCTCTAGTTCATGTACACTTCCCATAATTCCTGCTCCGTAAGCTTTATAACTACCTTTTTCTCTACATATACCAAATTCTATTGTATAGAAATAAATCGCAGCAAGTTTATTTAGTTCTGTTTCGCTGACACCAAGTGAGGCCAACCCTATTTATTAAGAGAAATCAGCAAAATCTTTTATTGCAAACATTGGGCCATGACCCAGTATATCGTGAATAATGTCTGGCTCATAAGCGTAAAGAGGTACGCTATGATGTCTGACATATTGTATACAGTGGAATACTTTAAATGCTAGCCCATTTAAGAATTCTCTCTGTGATAACATTCCTGCAACTGGCTTAAGTCTCCATCCAGTTTAAGATTATAAATAATTTGAGACTTCATTCAACTGAGGAACCTTTGACTCGAAATTATTAAATTAGCTCTTGAATTAATTAAGGGCCCAGTTGAATTCTTCACAAGCAATATTCTTATATAGCTTGGACAGTCGAGTAAAACAGTAATTCCATACATAATCATCATCTTCTGTATACTCTATTATTGGTAGATTTTTGTCATTAATTTTATATTGAGAGGTTGCTAGAGCAATTTATTATTTTCTATATTAATAATTTTGATCTTTGAAGTAAAATAGTTCTTTTTTTTAGATTTCACTTTCAGTTTAAATTATTTTTTTCCCGATATCATCCAAATCATTTAATTGCAATGGAAACCATGGCACTTCTTGAAAATTTAGAAATTCAGCTGAAAAACATATGCTTTAAAGCTCTTATATTATTTTTATCTTATTTTAATCTTCTATCTCACCTTAGAGTTCAATTTGAAAGTTTATCATTTAATTATCTTAAATAGAGCAAAAATTATGCTAGATTCTAGCTATTTAAACTTTGAATCTCTTTATTTTATCTAATATCCTATTCAAGCTTCCACTTTATGAATCTTAAATTTGAACTTTTAAAGTTTAAACAGTGAATTTTAAATCAATTTCAGAGCCTTAGATATTTGAATCTTTAGAAAAATTAACTATATTAATTGATGAGAAGCTTGCATTAGATTAACTATTATATTCATTGATTGATAGTAACATCTTCTTAATTGAGTTGGATTTTGATTTCTTTTATAATCCTCTAGAAATTTATCTTTAGAATTTACAAACTTGATAGAGTTTCTTTAAATCCTTGCTATACTAAGTCATCAAATTACTATTATAAACTGAATTAAATACATTTGAATTATAATATTTTTATGAAGTACATTTCTTTCAATTTCTGCCTAAAGGGGTTTTGGGGTTTTGGGGTTTTGGGGTTTTGGGG